AGCGAAAAGTGACGTTATTTTTAAGAGGACGGGATGCACCATAGCCCGTGCTACTTAGAACTTTTTGTTCCCAGTAGCTGAATCTTTTAAATGAACTCTGAATGAATTTCAGATTCAGAATCTGAATCCCATGTTTCAGACTCTTCCCATGGCAGTATGTGCTCTACTGCTCTACTGCGCGCGCGCGCGCTCTCTCGCTCTCTCTCTCTCTCTCTCTCTCTCTCTCTCTCTCTCTCTCTCTCTCTCTCTCTCTCTCTCTCTCTCTCTCTCTCTCTCTCTCTCTCTCTCTCTCTCTCTCTCTCTCTCTCTCTCTCTCTCTCTATCACTATCTGTGTAACAGCCTCACTACCTCTCTGTTTTCTCTCTCTTCCTCTATCATCATCTATACTAGAGGAAGGTATACATCCTCCATGCTAAAGCTCTTACCTCTCCCACACACTTTCCATCCCAAACGCTAAACACTAACAAAATATCATAGTGCGGAGACAACCTCCGATAGGAAGCCATGAGGAGGAGCCATTAACTTTCTCATACAGGATTGGCTACCACTCATCTACCTCCTATTGAACCGCGGCAGTTACTAACACAGGCTTTTTCTTTTTCTACACCTTTACCCCACCCACCAACGTCAATGTCCAGCGCCGATGGCGATGCCCCACGCCAACGGCGATGCTATCCTCTACACACACATCCACACACACACACACACTCCTTCTCCTTTCACATCCTGGATTGACAAACACTCATCCTATTGTAACGAGACAGTTATTAACTTACCCTTTTTTTCTTGCACACTCTCTAACACATTTATAGCCCTTTCAACTCATACACCTACTCACCCTACATTGCATCACCCTTTCCACTCATTTTAATTCTTGAAAAACTCAAGGGCGGAGCAAAAACTCACCCTTTGAGTTTGCCAACGTTGATGCCCCCGCGCCAACAGCGATGCTAACCTCTCCACCTGGAATACCTATTGGGACACAGTCAGAACAGGTGTTCCAGGTGGACCGTATTGCTGTTGGCGTAAATCTCCCTAATAACACCAACAAGAATTGGGACTTTAACATGCATCATGCAGCGGTCTTCACCACCAACATTCCTGGGGACATTAACACATCATGCAGCGGTCTTCAACACCAACATTCCTGGGGACATTAACACATCATGCAGCGGTCTTCAACACCAACATTCCTGGGGACATTAACACATCATGCAGCGGTCTTCTACACCAACATTCACATTAACACATCATGCAGCGGTCTTCAACACCAACATTCCTGGGGACATTAACACATCATGCAGCGGTCTTCAACACCAACATTCCTGGGGACATTAACACATCATGCAGCGGTCTTCAACACCAACATTCCTGGGGACATTAACACATCATGCAGCGGTCTTCAACACCAACATTCCTGGGGACATTAACACATCATGCAGCGGTCTTCAACACCAACATTCCTGGGGACATTAACACATCATGCAGCGGTCTTCACATTAACACATCATGCAGCGGTCTTCAACACCAACATTCCTGGGGACATTAACACATCATGCAGCGGTCTTCAACACCAACATTCCTGGGGACATTAACACATCATGCAGTGGTCTTCAACACCAACATTCCTGGGGACATTAACACATCATGCAGTGGTCAACACCAACATTCCTGGGGACATTAACACATCATGCAGCGGTCTTCAACACCAACATTCCTGGGGACAACAGCGGTCTTCAACACCAACATTCCTGGGGACATTAACACATCATGCAGCTGTCTTCAACACCAACATTCCTGGGGACATTAACACATCATGCAGTGGTCTTCAACACCAACATTCCTGGGGACATTAACACATCATGCAGTGGTCTTCAACACCAACATTCCTGGGGACATTAACACATCATGCAGCGGTCTTCAACACCAACATTCCTGGGGACATTAACACATCATGCAGCGGTCTTCAACACCAACATTCCTGGGGACATTAACACATCATGCAGCGGTCTTCAACACCAACATTCCTGGGGACATTAACACATCATGCAGCAGTCTTCAACACCAACATTCCTGGGGACATTAACACATCATGCAGCGGTCTTCACCACCAACATTCCTGGGGACATTAACACATCATGCAGCGGTCTTCAACACCAACATTCCTGGGGACATTAACACATCATGCAGCGGTCTTCAACACCAACATTCCTGGGGACATTAACACATCATGCAGCGGTCTTCAACGCCAACAATGATAAGAACATAAGAAAATAAGAACTTAAGAATAAAGGTAACTGCAGAAGGCCTATTGAACCATACGTAGCAGCTTCTATTTAAACCACCCAATCCCACTCATATACATGTCCAACCCACGTTTGAAACAATCATGGGACCCCACCTCCACCACGTTATGCGGTAATTGGTTCCATAAATTTCAATACCCTAATAATATCCCCTTCGTTGTGGCCTCTCATCTACTTGTAAACCTCTATCATGTCACCCCTAACTCTTCGCCTTTTCAGTGAAAGCAATTTAAGCTTTGTTAATCTTTCTTCATATGCCAGGTTTCTAATTTGGGTGATTAGCTTTGTCATCCTATTCTGAACGCGTTCAATTATATTTATATACATTCTATAGTACGGCGACCAAAACTGAGCTGCATAATCTAATTGGGGCCTAATCAGAGCAAGATATAACTGAACAACACCAGGCGTCTTGTTACTAACGCTTCGATTAATAAATCCCAGTGTCCTATTTGCCTTATTACGAACATTTATGCATTGATTATTTTGATTATACATTCTTACTAATCATAACTCTCAAATCCCTTTCGCAATCCGACTTCGCAATCTCAACACCATCTAGCTCGCATCTTGTAACTCTATCATCATCAGTCTCAATACCTTATATTTGACAGCATTAAACTGCATCTTCTAATTTTTTTACCATTTCAAAATCTATTTAGATCGTCTTGATAATGAGTTTTTTCGTGTTTATTTCTCTCCCGATTTTTGTATCATCGACAAATTTGTAAATATTGCTGCTCAAACCTGAATCTAAATCATTTATATATGTTATGAATAACAGAGGTCCCAGGACAGAGCCTTTAGGCACTCCATTTAGAACATTTTCCCACTCTGACTTAACCCCATTTATACTAACTCTCTGTTTCCTTTGGAATAGCCATGCCCTAATCCAACTTAATATAGCACCCTTAATACCATGAGCCTCTATCTTTTTAATCAGTCTTTCATGTGGCACTGTATCAAAAGCTTTGCTAAAGTCAAGGTACACAACATCACAATCCTTACCACTATTAACTGCCTCAACTATGCTTTAATAAAATTATAGCAAATTTGGTAAACATGAACGACCATTTGTAAAACCATTTTGTGAATCATTTGTTAATTTATATTTTTCAAGATGAAGACGAATAGTTTTTGCAGTTCTTACTAATTATTCAGTTAGTAAGATTATTCTAACTAATTATTCAGTTTGCAGTTCTTACTGATTATTCAAGAAACTTTCTCACAATAGACGTAAGGCTAATTGGCCGATAGTTTGAAGCAGGTGATCTATCTCCTTTCTTAAAAATTGGTACCACATTAGGAACCTTCCACGACTCTGGCACTCTGCCTGATTATAATGATGTATTAAATATGGTAGACAATGGGTCGCAAAGGTCCTCTTTGCATTCTTTAAGCACCCTGGCAAACACTTCGTCTGGCCCCGGGGATTTGTTTGGTCTGAATTTCATGATTTGTTTAATAATATCATCCCTGGTAACTGCTAAACTAGTCAACCTGTCCTCGTCCTCATCGACATAGACTTGTTCGGCTGAAGGCATAGAGTTAAGTTCTTTTTTAGTAAATACAGAGATAAAATATTTATTAAAAATACTACTCATCTCTTCGTCATTATCCGTTATCTGACCTGTCTTAGTTTTTAATGGACCTATCTTTTGTTCGATATAAATGAAAAAAAACCTTTAGGACTTGCCTCTGCTTGCCCTGTTATACGAAATTCATAGTTTCTTTTGGCTTTCCTTATCTCTTTTTAACATTTCTGACCAGTTATCTGGAGGTTATCTTGAGATGATTTCGGGGCTTTTTAGTGTCCCCGCGGCCCGGTCCTCGACCAGGCCTCCACCCCCAGGAAGCAGCCTGTGACAGCTGACTAACACCCAGGTACCTATTTTACTGCTTGGTAACAGGGGCATAGGGTGAAAGAAACTCTGCCCATTGTTTCTCGCCGGCGCCTGGGATCGAACCCAGGATTACAAGTACAGCGTGCTGTCCGCTCGGCCGACCGGCTTCCCATGTTGTACGAATTTTTGTTCTAAATTCACTTCCCCATTCTCAATCCTTTTGTACCAAGCTCTCTTTCTACCTATAAGGTTCTTCAGATCCTTTGTTATCCATTTCGGGTCATTAGTATTCGATCTATTCAATTTGTATGGTATACTACGTTCTTGTGCTCTGCTTAGAATATTTTTAAATAAGTTATATTTTGATTCCACATAGAACTCCCTTATAACATCACCCATCGCTGGGTTCACGTCTTGCTCCAGGACCGGCCCACCCCTTATGCCCAAAACTTTCCAATCTGTTTGACCCAAAAAAATTCTTAGGCTATTAAATTCAGCTTTTCGAAAATCTGGCTCTTTAAAAGAATTTTCTCCTATAGATCTATTCCATTCCACGCTAAATCTGATTTCTTTGTGATCACTGTTCCCTAGTTCACTCCATAATATCGATGTCATTAATTTGTGTTTCCCTGTTAGTTAACACTAAATCTAAAATATTTTTATTTATACTAAGATAATAAAACATGACGGGGCCTTTAACACATCATGCAGCGGTCTACAACACCAACAATGGAAGGAATGACATCAGAGGATGGCTCCTGTTCAATCTAATGACAGCAATTTATATGCCCCCAATATAATAATATTATTTAAAAAATCTGAAATTTTTAAGTGTTACAAATTGATTAGATTTTTACATTATTATCAGTAATATGTCCCATTTTCTGTATGACATTTGATGAAAATACATTTACTACTGTATGAACAGTGAGGAAAGTGTAGTGAGAGCTGAGAGTTACTTGCCTGTGTGGCCTTGTGGCGTCTGGTGGCCCCAGTGTGGTCCATCTTCTGACTACTGCTGTCAGTGTGGCGTCTGGTGGCCCCAGTGTGGTCCATCTTCTGACTACTGCTGTCAGTGTGGCGTCTGGTGGCCCCAGTGTGGTCCATCTTCTGACTACTGCTGTCAGTGTGGCGTCTGGTGGCCCCAGTGTGGTCCATCTCCTGACTACTGCTGTCAGTGTGGCGTCTGGTGGCCCCAGTGTGGTCCATCTTCTGACTACTGCTGTCAGTGTGGCGTCTGGTGGCCCCAGTGTGGTCCATCTTCTGACTACTGCTGTCAGTGTGGCGTCTGGTGGCCCCAGTGTGGTCCATCTCCTGACTACTGCTGTCAGTGTGGCGTCTGGTGGCCCCAGTGTGGTCCATCTCCTGACAACTGCTGTCAGTGTGGCGTCTGGTGGCCCCAGTGTGGTCCATCTCCTGACTACTGCTGTCAGTAAGACGCCAGGACCACTGACAACTACTGTCAGTAAGACGCCAGGACCACTGACAACTACTGTCAGTAAGACGCCAGGACCACTGACAACTACTGTCAGTAAGACGCCAGGACCACTGACAACTACTGTCAGTAAGACGCCAGGACCACTGACAACTACTGTCAGTAAGACGCCAGGACCACTGACTACTACTGTCAGTAAGACGCCAGGACCACTGACTACTACTGTCAGTAAGACGCCAGGACCACTGACAACTACTGTCAGTAAGACGCCAGGACCACTACTGTGTAAGACGCCAGGACCATGACTACTGTCAGTAAGACGCCAGGACCACTGACAACTACTGTCAGTAAGACGCCAGGACCACTGACAACTACTGTCAGTAAGACGCCAGGACCACTGACAACTACTGTCAGTAAGACGCCAGGACCACTGACAACTACTGTCAGTAAGACGCCAGGACCACTGACAACTACTGTCAGTAAGACGCCAGGACCACTGACAACTACTGTCAGTAAGACGCCAGGACCACTGACAACTACTGTCAGTAAGACGCCAGGACCACTGACAACTACTGTCAGTAAGACGCCAGGACCACTGACAACTACTGTCAGTAAGACGCCAGGACCACTGACTACTACTGTCAGTAAGACGCCAGGACCACTGACAACTACTGTCAGTAAGACGCCAGGACCACTGACAACTACTGTCAGTAAGACGCCAGGACCACTCCGTCCACTGTCATCAACACAGGTCAACAGACGATTCACTGGTCATCAACTGGTCAACAGAGCTCACTTCAGTCATCTGATGTTCAGGTCAGCATAGCCAGCCTGCTCCACTGTCAGCAGCTGCTGATAGATCTGTACACACAGCCCCAATAGTCATCAACACAGGTCAACAGAGCCTCACTAGTCATCAACACAGGTCAACAGAGCCTCACTAGTCATCAACACAGGTCAACAGAGCCTCACTAGTCATCAACACAGGTCAACAGAGCCTCACTAGTCATCAACACAGGTCAACAGAGCCTCACTAGTCATCAACACAGGTCAACAGAGCCTCACAAGTCATCAACACAGGTCAACAGAGCCTCACTAGTCATCAACACAGGTCAACAGAGCCTCACTAGTCATCAACACAGGTCAACAGAGCCTCACTAGTCATCAACACAGGTCAACAGAGCCTCACTAGTCATCAACACAGGTCAACAGAGCCTCACTAGTCATCAACACAGGTCAACAACAGAGCCTCACTAGTCATCAACACAGGTCAACAGAGCCTCACTAGTCATCAACACAGGTCAACAGAGCCTCACTAGTCATCAACACAGGTCAACAGAGCCTCAACATCAACACAGGTCAACAGAGCCTCAGGTCAACAGGGCTTCACTAGTCATCAACACAGGTCAACAGAGCCTCACTAGTCATCAACACAGGTCATCACAGCCTCACTAGTCATCAACACAGGTCAACAGAGCCTCACTAGTCATCAACACAGGTCATCACAGCCTCACTAGTCATCAACACAGGTCAATAGAGCCTCACTCAGTCAACAGAGCCTCACCAGTCATCAACACAGGTCAACAGAGCCCCACTAGTCATCAACACAGGTCAACAGAGCCTCACTAGTCATCAACACAGGTCAACAGAGCCTCACTAGTCATCAACACAGGTCAACAGAGCCTCACTAGTCATCAACACAGGTCAACAGAGCCTCACTAGTCATCAACACAGGTCAACAGAGCCTCACCAGTCATCAACACAGGTCAACAGAGCCTCACTAGTCATCAACACAGGTCAACAGAGCCCCACTAGTCATCAACACAGGTCAACAGAGCCTCACTAGTAATCACTCACAAGTTAACTAAGTCAACACCAGTACTGGTGCTGGCTACACCTGGCCCGTTATCACTGACACAGGCAGTGTTGCAGCGCCACAGTTATCTGCTGTTATCATCAGTATCTCATGATAACAGTTGCTGGTCGCTACAATCTGCTGCCGTCACATTATCATGAACAATGTTCTTAGTTAAATATACAAGACAAAAGTCACTCCAGATTTTGTTAATGTTGTCCTTAACGTGTTCCCAACATTCCAGCAACAACCAAACGTGTTTTTACACGATTAAGTATCGGTGTTCCGGCCATTATGAGACGATAAGGAGGCTGGCTTGAGCTCCTTCCTCGTTACTCCTGGCTCCTGGCCTCGCTGGTCTGGTGGTGACAGTCCCAACACTATTGTAGTGGTGCACGATTGTTGGTGCAGCAGTTGAGTGTGGGACCACTATTGTAGTGGTGCAAGATTGTTGGTGCAGCAGTTGAGTGTGGGACCACTATTGTAGTGGTGCACGATTGTTGGTGCAGCAGTTGAGTGTGGGACCACTATTGTAGTGGTGCACGATTGTTGGTGCAGCAGTTGAGTGTGGGACCACTATTGTAGTGGTGCACGATTGTTGGTGCAGCAGTTGAGTGTGGGACCACTATTGTAGTGGTGCAAGATTGTTGGTGCAGCAGTTGAGTGTGGGACCACTATTGTACTCGCCTAGTTGTATTCACCTAGTTGTGCTTGGGGGGGGGGGGGGGTGAGCTCTGGTTCTTTGGTCCCACTTCTTAACTGCCAATCAACTGGTGTACAGATTCCTAAGCCTACTGGGCTCTATCATATTTATATTTGAAACTGTGTATGGAGTCAGCCTCCACCACATCACTGCCTAAGGCATTCCATCTGTTAACTACTCTGACACTGAAAAAGGTCTTTCTAACGTCCCTGTGGCTCATTTGGGTACTCAGTTTCCACCTGTGTCCCCTTGTTACAGTAGTTGTCAGTGGTCCTGGCGTCTTACTGACAGTAGTTGTCAGTGGTCCTGGCGTCTTACTGACAGTAGTTGTCAGTGGTCCTGGCGTCTTACTGACAGTAGTTGTCAGTGGTCCTGGCGTCTTACTGACAGTAGTTGTCAGTGGTCCTGGCGTCTTACTGACAGTAGTTGTCAGTGGTCCTGGCGTCTTACTGACAGTAGTTGTCAGTGGTCCTGGCGTCTTACTGACAGTAGTTGTCAGTGGTCCTGGCGTCTTACTGACAGTAGTTGTCAGTGGTCCTGGCGTCTTACTGACAGTAGTTGTCAGTGGTCCTGGCGTCTTACTGACAGTAGTTGTCAGTGGTCCTGGCGTCTTACTGACAGTAGTTGTCAGTGGTCCTGGCGTCTTACTGACAGTAGTTGTCAGTGGTCCTGGCGTCTTACTGACAGTAGTTGTCAGTGGTCCTGGCGTCTTACTGACAGTAGTTGTCAGTGGTCCTGGCGTCTTACTGACAGTAGTTGTCAGTGGTCCTGGCGTCTTACTGACAGTAGTTGTCAGTGGTCCTGGCGTCTTACTGACAGTAGTTGTCAGTGGTCCTGGCGTCTTACTGACAGTAGTTGTCAGTGGTCCTGGCGTCTTACTGACAGTAGTTGTCAGTGGTCCTGGCGTCTTACTGACAGTAGTTGTCAGTGGTCCTGGCGTCTTACTGACAGTAGTTGTCAGTGGTCCTGGCGTCTTACTGACAGTAGTTGTCAGTGGTCCTGGCGTCTTACTGACAGTAGTTGTCAGTGGTCCTGGCGTCTTACTGACAGTAGTTGTCAGTGGTCCTGGCGTCTTACTGACAGTAGTTGTCAGTGGTCCTGGCGTCTTACTGACAGTAGTTGTCAGTGGTCCTGGCGTCTTACTGACAGTAGTTGTCAGTGGTCCTGGCGTCTTACTGACAGTAGTTGTCAGTGGTCCTGGCGTCTTACTGACAGTAGTTGTCAGTGGTCCTGGCGTCTTACTGACAGTAGTTGTCAGTGGTCCTGGCGTCTTACTGACAGTAGTTGTCAGTGGTCCTGGCGTCTTACTGACAGTAGTTGTCAGTGGTCCTGGCGTCTTACTGACAGTAGTTGTCAGTGGTCCTGGCGTCTTACTGACAGTAGTTGTCAGTGGTCCTGGCGTCTTACTGACAGTAGTTGTCAGTGGTCCTGGCGTCTTACTGACAGTAGTTGTCAGTGGTCCTGGCGTCTTACTGACAGTAGTTGTCAGTGGTCCTGGCGTCTTACTGACAGTAGTTGTCAGTGGTCCTGGCGTCTTACTGACAGTAGTTGTCAGTGGTCCTGGCGTCTTACTGACAGTAGTTGTCAGTGGTCCTGGCGTCTTACTGACAGTAGTTGTCAGTGGTCCTGGCGTCTTACTGACAGTAGTTGTCAGTGGTCCTGGCGTCTTACTGACAGTAGTTGTCAGTGGTCCTGGCGTCTTACTGACAGTAGTTGTCAGTGGTCCTGGCGTCTTACTGACAGTAGTTGTCAGTGGTCCTGGCGTCTTACTGACAGTAGTTGTCAGTGGTCCTGGCGTCTTACTGACAGTAGTTGTCAGTGGTCCTGGCGTCTTACTGACAGTAGTTGTCAGTGGTCCTGGCGTCTTACTGACAGTAGTTGTCAGTGGTCCTGGCGTCTTACTGACAGTAGTTGTCAGTGGTCCTGGCGTCTTACTGACAGTAGTTGTCAGTGGTCCTGGCGTCTTACTGACAGTAGTTGTCAGTGGTCCTGGCGTCTTACTGACAGTAGTTGTCAGTGGTCCTGGCGTCTTACTGACAGTAGTTGTCAGTGGTCCTGGCGTCTTACTGACAGTAGTTGTCAGTGGTCCTGGCGTCTTACTGACAGTAGTTGTCAGTGGTCCTGGCGTCTTACTGACAGTAGTTGTCAGTGGTCCTGGCGTCTTACTGACAGTAGTTGTCAGTGGTCCTGGCGTCTTACTGACAGTAGTTGTCAGTGGTCCTGGCGTCTTACTGACAGTAGTTGTCAGTGGTCCTGGCGTCTTACTGACAGTAGTTGTCAGTGGTCCTGGCGTCTTACTGACAGTGGTCCTGGCGTCTTACTGACAGTAGTAGTCAGTGGTCCTGGCGTCTTACTGACAGTAGTAGTCAGTGGTCCTGGCGTCTTACTGACAGTAGTTGTCAGTGGTCCTGGCGTCTTACTGACAGTAGTTGTCAGTGGTCCTGGCGTCTTACTGACAGTAGTTGTCAGTGGTCCTGGCGTCTTACTGACA